ATATTTAATATTTTATTCCTATTCCTAATATTTTCTCTATTGTGCGCAGGGCCAAAGTGTTCATCACTCTATCACTTTGAAAACTAGATTTTGAGTCCAAATTTTCTATAATTTATTTTCTTTTTTTAAATATTTATTTGTATTTATTAATATTTATTTATTATTATAAAAAATAATGTATAATATTTAAACGTATGAAGGAAACGGAATGGATTAATTATTTCTAATTTTTATTTTTTTATTTCATTATGCGTTAATTCATTCCGTTTCCTTGTTTGAAGTAGAATAATTCCAAATTGCTCCTCCTGATATTTAATATTTTATTCCTATTCCTAATATTTTCTCTATTGTGCGCAGGGCCAAAGTGTTCATCACTCTATCACTTTGAAAACTAGATTTTGAGTCCAAATTTTCTATAATTTATTTTCTTTTTTTAAATATTTATTTGTATTTATTAATATTTATTTATTATTAAAAAATAATGTATAATATTTAAACGTATGATATATTCACATGTATGATATATCCGATTTATGTCGCGTTTGATGCCATATTTTAATCGCATAAATCTTATCAAACCATTACAATTATTTTCAAATCGATAAAATATAAAATAAAAGTTTTAGTTTTTATTTTATGTTTATGTATTGTAGATAGGAAAGATCCTCGATGCTGGAGAGTCATCGAAAGCGAGAGCGAGAACGAATGAAGAGCTAACGAGATGACTAACATTTTGTATTTTATCAATTTAAAAATAATTGTAATGGATTAATGAGATTTTTACGATTAAAATGACACTTAACATGACATAAATCGAATAATTTTTCACTGAATAAATAATCAAAATTTTGATAACATGTTTAATTAAAAATTATCCAATTTATGTCATTTTAATCATAAAAATCTCATTAATCCATTACAATTATTTATTTAGTGAAAAGTAAGCAACGCGTGAAGTTTTTTGATGTGTTAAAAAAATTTATTGAACGTTTCGGTCCTGAATTTGGACCATCTTCAGAATAGTTACAAATAATTAAGAATACATCACGTATGAATAGAAAGAAGAAATTTAATTTAAAAACCAAATAAATTAAAAATGCAACAATAAAATACATTTTGAACAATCAGCTATCACATACGATCCTATATCTATTTAGCTTTGCATTGTGAAGGGCACGTTTCTTTCGTCTCAAAAAAACACGTATCGTCAGTGTTATCAACGAACGTGTCTTTCCGATATGAAATTACATAAGGACGATATATCGAACTGGCCTCGTCGTCGCAGTCATTCTCCTACATTGCGTAAAACACGCAAGTACTCCGAACAATATTAAATATTTATTAAATATTTAATAAATACTTAATTTATATCTGTCATTGATACTGCATAGGTATCTATAAATTTCAATGCTCTCGTTGAAAAGAAGAAAAATACCGGCGATAATCTGTACGAAAAGCTCTTTATTATTTTTGTTGAAAGTTGTTGCACAAAATCTCTCAAACAAAGACGGAAAAACATGACAAACGTCGATGAATCAGTTTGCGATTCTGTGAATCAGCAATAAGCGTAATTAAATCCCGTTTGTTTTAATGTGACAAATGTTTGTCCTAATGTGTGCAGGGAGGTTGAGAAGTATTTCGCACCTGAGCGCGACTATACAGGGTGTTTCAAAGCGACCGTATCAGCAGTTTTTTGAGGAAACAACGCATTTTCATGAAAAATGTTTCATGCAAAAGTTGTAGAGCTCTAAGTGGCGCAATATATAATAATATTAGTATGACCTTGAATAGCACCGTCAAGTTCACATAAAAATCACTTTGAATTTTTTAAATGGAACCCCCTATTTTTCATTACATATTCTTGTAGCTTACCTCGAAAGCTTTCCAAAACACTATAATAAAGTATTTTTTCATTAAGTACTTTTTGAGTTATTTTATATTTCAAAATCTGACATATTTTGATATAAAAAATAAAATATTTCGTAAAATATTCAGTTT